ATTCAGGGTTGGAAGATCTTCTTTAAGTCATCAGTTCTCCCCAGATCAGTCTATCTTCAGCACAATCAAACCCAATAAAATTTCCAACAGACCTTTTTTTTGTGGACAGATATTGACAACTTAATACCAAAATTTTTATAGAGATGTAAAGCACCTAGAATATCCCAAAATAACTTTTATCAAGAAAAGTAAAGTTGAAGGACTTATCTACCTGATTTTAGAACTTACTACAAAGTTACATTAAGATAGTATGATATTGTCAGGTAGGAATGGACGTATAAATAATAGGATAGAATTTAGTATGAAATAAACCCACGCATATGGTCAGTTGATTTTTTTTTTAAAGATTTTATTTATTTATTTGACAGAGATCACAAGTAGGCAGAGAGGCAGTCAGAGAGAGAGAGAGGAAGGGAAGCAGGCTCCCCGCTGAGCGGAGAGCCCGATGCGGGGCTCGATCCCAGGACCCTGAGATCATGACCCGAGCTGAAGGCAGAGGCTTTAACCCACTGAGCCACCCAGGCGCCCCTGGTCAGTTGATTTTTATTTTATTTTTTGAGGGGGGCTGAAATTTTGATCACCTTTTAAAAATGTTTTATCCAGTTATAACATACATAGAGAAAAACGCACACAGTCAACTGATTTTTAGCAAAGAAGACAAATCAACTCAATGAGGAAAAAATAATCTTTCCAGCAGTTGGTGCTGGGATAATTGGATGTCTGTGTGCAAGCAGTTTAACTTCAACTTGCCTGTCGCATCACACGCAGTTATTAACTCCTTGGGAGACTCCGACATAAAGCCTAAAACTACAGAAGTTCCATAAGAGAATGTAGGAGAGAAATCTTAGTGACTTTGGTTTAGGCAAAGATTTCTTATATAGGACACACAAAGCACAAAGCAAAAAAAAATTCATTACTTAGACTTCAAAATGAAAAATTTTTGCTTTTTGAAAGACATAACTAAAGAAAAGTAAGGTGCAGACTGGGAAAAGTAATTGCAAAACATATACTTGATAAAGAACGTGTACCCAGAATACAGAATGGACTCTTGCAGCTTAATAATGAGAAACAAACAAACAAACAAAACATGGACAGAAGATTTGAACAGACACTTCTCCAGAGGGATACGAAAATGGTCAATAAGCATGGGAAAAGATGTTCAATTATTTAACATCAGGGAAATGGAAATCAAAACCACAATGGAGATATACCACTACGCACCTATTAGAATGGCTAAAATTAGGGTGCCTGTTTGGGTCAGCCAGTTAAGCGTCTGCTTTTGGTGCAGGTCATGATCCCAGGGTCCTGGGATCAAGTCCCATGTCGAGCTCCCTGCTCAGCTGGAAGTGTGCTTCTCCCTCTGTCCTTTCTCCCTGCTCGTGGCTCTCTTTCTCTCAAATAAATAAATAAAGTCTTAAAAAAATAAATCTAAAAGACCAACCATACCATCATTGGCAATGATAAGGAAGAATTGGAACTCTTATATCCCACTGATAGAAATGTAAACTGGAACAGACCCTTTGAAAACATTAGCAGCTTATTTAAAAGGGAGACATACACGTGCCATATGACTCACCTTTACCCAGGGAGGCAGGAACACAGATGGACACAAAGATTTTGATGCAAATGTTCATAGTAGCTTTATTAATAATGGTCCCAAACTGGAAGGAACCCAAATACCCATCAGCTGAGGAATGGATAAACAAATTGTGACCTATTCATACAATGAAATATTGCTGAACAACAACAAAAGGATTGAACTGTGACCTACTGATTACACACAACAACATGGATAAATTTCAGAACCATTCATGCTAACTAAAAGAAGCCAGACGCAAAAGTCTACAAACTGAATTATATCATTCATATGAAATTTTAGAAATGGTGAAACTATAGTGACAGAACTTTATGCATATATGGTATTTTTCTTTAAAGGGGGGGAGGGGAGCAAATGAATTCTAGGTTCTTTTGCCCGCCTGTGTATCGTAACAGAGGGCATACTGCTGTCTTAAAGATTTTTAACATATGCATGAGCAATCAAAAATTTGTCATAATCATCCAATGAATGAAGTAGATGATTAAGTTGAATTTTTACTATTTGGGATCAATGAAATGTGACTATAACATGCTGAGAATTTTTGTTCTGGCAACCTCAGATAGACTCTGAGAAAACTTCTAGATAGCTAGTTCCAAAAATGATGTCCCCTTATAGCTTCATCATTGGAATAAACTTACAACCTTTTGAATTCAGTGCTTTGAAGGATACAAGATACAAGTGTTTTGAGAATTATCTTTTTTCCCCTCAAAGATAATTGAGCTTAGTTTCCTTTTTTTTTTTTTAAGATTTATTTATTTGACAGAGAACACAAGTAGGCAGAGCAGCTGGCAGAGGGAGAGAGAGCACAAGTTGATAGGGAGAGGGCACACAGAGGGAGAGGGAGAAGCAGGCTCCCCACTGAGCAGAGAGCCTGAAACGGGGCTTGATCCCAGGGGATCATTACCTGACCTGAAGGCAGACCTTCAGCCGCCTGAGCCACCCAGGCACCCCTAGTTTTCCTTTTTTTAAACAGTCACTTTGTACTTTTGCTGGTAGTAGCCAGTAATAATCTGATTTTATATTCAGATAAAGAACCAAAGTCAGATGTCCAAGGAACCAGCCCAGGGGCTGCCAAGCACTCCTGAAAGAATAAGAAATAATTTTCTAATAAACAGAGCTACCGAAATTGACACGGGCTACCTGGGGATAAGGTAAATTCCCCGAGGTTCGGGTGGTGACTGGACTCCAGTGTCAGGAGCGCAGGAGAGGTTACGAGCATCTCATGAGCGAGAGGCCGATGGGAGAGCTCTGTGGGGACAGAGCTGGAGCCTCGCTCCCCAAATGGCTTCCAGCCGGAAGTGTCCTGAGCCTCACGGGAAAGACTTCTTGCAGCTTTGGTGTCTGTGGGCGTTTGGATAAAAGCCTTCCGTGTTGTGCCATTTGAATTCAATTTTCAGGACAGCAATCCCCTACCCTGCTGTTAAAGATGTTACAGAGCGTCGCTCTACAGTTCTGAAAGATGCCATCCCGTACGGGTTGAAAACGGTCCCAGAGATCATCTGCAGTAAAGCAAATGTGCAGATTCCCGTTTGCTTCAAGGCTACCGAATACCTTTTCACGACACACCAAGTTTTCTGGAAAATAACTGAAGAATTGCCCTTATTATTGGTTTAATGGAGGAGATCGTTAGATCTCTAGCGCAGACATGGATCTTGTGGTAAACGCCGAAAGGCAGCGTTCTTTTTCCAGAAGCACTCGTGGCTTCAAATAATATATTCAGTACTTAAAAGAGCTAGCATCTTTTTCCAAATTGCCTGGCAGAAGAGGAGAAAGCCCCAGATGGTCGGGTTTGGCAGTGCCTGGGCTGCTGTGCTCAGGACACCATCTTTAAAGTAGATGAAGATTTATTTCATAGGCAAGGAAGGGGAAGCATATTTTAGGATGGAGTATTTAAATGCCTCCCTCCTTAGAAGTTGAAAGAGCATGAACACAGATTCTTTGCACTAAATTAATCCCTACTGTAGTCCTTCTACTAATTTGCTCAGCAAATATTTAGCAAGCACCGCAGAGTATTGTCCTATGGGAGACGGTGTGAGAGGCACAGACGCGAGTGGGATACCAGCCTTAGCCTGAAGTAACTCGATGCAGACAAGATGGAAAAGGAAGCAGCTCCAGGAGTGTGTCTGAAACATGCCAGTTGAATGGGTCAGGGACTAGGGACAGTGGAGTTCAAAGAAAGGAAGGTCAAAGGAAGGAAGGAATATAGCTTTTGAGTTATTTAAGGAAAGAGTGGTTTCTGTGGGCCATGCAAGCAGCCCAAAGGAAGGGGACAAGTGTATCCTATTTGGCAGAAATGTCAAGGAGAATGAGAGGCAATTACTTTGGTGATTAGGACCTTGCTGTTGACCTTCAAGTGTAGGACTTTGAGGAGAGCGTGCTATCGGAAGCCAGATTGTAGTGAGCTACAGGGCAGGTTATTTGGGGAAATGGAGAATTAGTCACTCATTGAAGATGTCTGCTAGTCAAGGGGGTAAGTACAACACAGTCGATGAGATTTTATTCCTCAGAAGGATAAATTGTTATTTTGAGAGCAGAGTTTGCCAGGTTATTGAAGGGAGAGGTTAAATATGTTTGAAAGGGAATGATTGCATTGCAAGATCCTGGGGAGAAAAATGTTAATAAAGGAAAGAACCACAGGATAATTGATAGTATTTTTAATAGGGAAATGAACTGCCATAATCTGTATTTTTGCATTTTATATAAAGAGATAACATTAAGAAATATCTGTAACATTAAGAAATTATCTATTCAGAAACTGAAATATCATTAGTGATTAGTAATTCAAGTAAGAAGTTGGGCAGGAAGAAAAATTAAAAGTAGTTCCATATTTAGAGTCTTGTTCTTTTAAGAACATTAATGATTTATACCCTCTGGTAGTCATTTAACGGGGTTATTCCTTATCTTCCAATGGAACACCAAGAAATGCACACTGAGGAGAGTGGTTTTCCTGGACCTCCCCTCTGCCTCTTATATCCGTCAGACTTATTCCCCGCACGCACCAGAGCTTGTCAGGCTAACCACCATTTCATGTCACTGGTTGGTGAGCCACGTTGGAAAGGAGAGGCAAGTAGCCTCTGTGCTGGGTGAGACTTACCGGCCTCATGAAGCTTGCTTTACCACAGGATAGTTTTCCAAGAGCTCTGTCACTGAGGAGGAAGCAAGTTTAATCCCCACCATGACCTCCACTGTGGAAGATTTCAGGGGGTTGGGCAAGACACTGGGAGAATATTTGCATGGGTGTGTTGTGTGTGCTCACTCAGCCTGAATGGGTAACCTGTCATACCACCTCCTCACTGTTCGACATCAGTACTTGAGTCTCTGGCTCCTTCAGAAGTCAGTGTGTCACTCAAAGGTATTTTTCTCCCTGAAGGACCTCACGGTGTTTTACCCTTGTCCTCCTCAGACACAGGTGTGTTTGCAGTGGTGAATAGCCATTCCTTGTCTCTGCTCGGGAAGCTGACGATCAGCGCGGCCTTTAACGTGGTGTACATCTACACCTCTGAGCTGTACCCCACGGTCATCAGGTGCGCCTCACACACCCTGCATGTTTTGCAGTAGACACTTGCCACAGCGGAGGTATGGTTCTCGTTCCACCGGGACCATAGTTAGGGTGGGCCAGCAACAGTTCAGCAGGCCGGCTTAAGCCCAGAAACTGCCTGTGTGGACCGCACTCGGCCCACTTGGCTGAGGAAAATGTAGCTATATTTTGAGCTAAGTTCCCTCATGTAAATCGTGAGAGAAGTCCTCTACACTAAACACATCCCATCACCCAGAGACTGCTCGGATGCCATCTTGATTTCAGCGGACTGGATTTATTCATTCACCATCCTGTCTCAGGCACCTGTCAGGCAAGGGGACTTGGTCCCTGTTGTCACAGAACCTACATCTTCACCCAAAATATACACATTGTTAAAAAGGTAATTCCACTTAGAAGTGAAGATGAGGTTTCCATATTAGTTGATAAATGTGGTTTCTAATGAGTAGGACACACTCCTATCAAAGGGAACATATTCTGTCTGAAGTTTCCCCTCATAAAATAAGTCTGAAAACCAAACGTGGAGGGCAGGGATGTGGCTCAGTCTTCTTAGAACTGCCTTTGTGAGCCAGGCAGGGGTTCCCTAGCTCAGCACTTCCCCAGGCTTTTCAGAGATCATTCCAAATGTTTCCCTCATCCCTGCAAACTTAATGATTCTTTCTGCCTATTAATTTTAAATCCCTTCCCCCCCCAGTTTTTCCCAGGCTGTCTGTGATGGGCCAGTCATTTCCTAATTATTCCTCTGACCTGTTTTTTTCTTTGGCTGCCAGCTGTGATGCTAGGATGACCATTTTGTCCAAACTGGGACACTTTTGAGAGTAATTAGGCTGGGGCAAAAGGGTGATATCTGGCCACCCCACCTGTAACCACTCTCATTCCCACTCCCTCCCATCACTTGCATGGCTGTACTCCTCACAAAGGTAATGTTTGTGGTTTCCTGAGAATATGTGCTCAATTCCTATTCATATGCCTGACCCTTGAATCGTCAATTAGTTGAATTTAAATAAATGGGCAGACTTCTCAGATCATAAAACCCTGGCTCTCCATGGGTATATCAATTCATAGGAAACCTCACACACAAAAACCCATTAAGAACATTGGACAAGAAATATTCTCATGGTCATTTCTGCACCGTCCTCTGTGATAACTGCACTGTCCAGTGTGGTAGTTACTAGCCTCGTGTGGCTATTTAAATTTAAACTAATTAAAATGAAGTAAATGAAAAACCCAGTTCCTTGTTCTCACTAGCCCCATTTCGAGTGCTCGTAGCAGCAGGTGTCTAGCAACTTTCATATTGGACAGTGTGGTTACAGAACATTTCCAGAACCTCAGAATGTTCCAGAATGTTTCACTGCTCTAAAGGAGACCATGCTTCTTCCACCTTGGGATTTATTATTATAGGCCCATTACAGGGTTTTTACATTCCCCCCGCCCCAGAACTTACTGATTTTCCACTTTTTTTTATGCCTTTCAGGAACGTTGGGCTTGGAACTTGTTCTATGTTCTCCCGAGTTGGTGGGATTATTGCTCCCTTCATCCCCTCACTGGTTGGTTTGTACCTCCTGGTTTTGTTTTTCTGGATTCTCTGCTTTGGAAATGTTTGTACCTTTGCTTACAATGTGGTAGCAAACAGTTGCCACTGAAGATCAGCCTGCCCCGAGTGGGAAGCTTGTCTCTTTTAGATTACGTATCGCTCAGGACACAGGGGCTCTGACCCAGGATGCTCTCACCCTCAAGACTCTGAGTGTCTGCTTATCTGCATTCACTGGAGAGTTAGCTAATACCAGCATGCCCCTTCCTGTCTCCATTCATCAGTCAGTCAGTGAATATTTGTGAAGTTTCTGCAGTGTGCTGGGCTCTGTGCCGAGCGCTTCAACATCTGTCGCAAACTTCACAAGAACCATGTGAGGCAGGGATAGTTATTATCCTCTATTAAAGAGGAGAAATTCAGCAGAAACGGGCTACATAACTTGCCCAAAGTCATACCACTTAGACAAGAAAATTAGAAGAGAAACATGCCTAGTCGTGGGTCTATTAAGAGCTTTTTAGTGTTTTCTCAATTTCACAGTCAAGAAAAAGAGGGTAGACTTAAGAGCTGCCCTGAAAATCCTTCCAGTCTTGAAATCTTCTGGTTCTGTGATGGATTAATCCACAGAGCCCCTGTGCATGTCTCTGCTGGGTCCAACCTGTGGCCTTCCCAGCCGGTACTCAACAAAGGGTGACTGGATGTGCTTTGTAGACAGCTGTTCTCCCCACCTCCTAGCCATGCCGGCAGGCCAGGTCCAAGGACACAGGGGGTTCCTGCAGGACCGGCCAAGAGGGTCCTCGGCTTCACGCAGCATGGCAGTCACATGAGCCGGCCGGAGGTAAAACAGTTCATTGAAGATCCAGAGAGACCAGATACAGACGGAGTGACTGGGAGGCTCAGAAAGGAAAGGAGGGAGGCTCGTCTTTGTCCAGGGGGCTGGGAGTGGTCTGGTGTATGTGTCCTCTCAGGCATCCAGGCATCCAGGAACCGGTTAGAACAAAGACAAGGGCACCAGTGTTATTCCTTGGAGCCAAGGGGTCTTGGCATGAAGATGTCTAGAATGTCTCCAGTGGTCTGGAATGTGCATACAATAGCTTCACCTGGTCGTTCTCCCCTGGTCCTTCCTGAGATGTTTTCTGCTCTAGAGAAATCATTAAGTCTTGGCCCCTGCAAGAAGGACCTATGTGATTTGCATTATAAGCCTGTGTAAAGTCAAGTGGGGGTGCAGGTCTGAGCAACCGGAGAAGCAGGAAAAGCAGCAAAGGGAAAACCAGCCTTTTCTCTCACAGCATCTCTTTGGTTTCCTGGTCTCCCTAGTACAGGAGGGTGTCTCTGAAATCCCACCGTGACCTTTTTGTTCTTTCTTTCTTCCTTTCAATCTTTCTGGTCTTTCTGTCTTTCTATCTTTGACTTGCAGTACACTTCCTTTTCATGAGTATCTCTTTCCATGTCTCCTGCTTAATTTCACACGGTCAGACCCTTCCTCTGATATGTATTTGTTCCATTCTGTAAAGTGTGTGGGACATTAGAGGTTTATCTCTAAAGATCTCTGGACTCTGTCTGGCTCTCCTAGAACATTAGACTACCTAGCCTTGGGTCTCTGTTCCTGCTCAGTTGAGAAGAGGTGAGAGCGTTGTGTCCCCCATGACTCAGCAGCACACCCACAGTGTTGGACCTGTGTGTGCATGTGGGATCCAGAAGTGAGATTCTGCCTGGCTACCTCCGTCCCCTGCCCTGCCTTGTCCATCATCTCTTTACTTCTGAAAAATCAGGCAGAGGATATCCTAACTAGGAGTGGTCCTATCCACACAATTTGGAAGCCCAAATAAGATAAAGCTAAACAACTCCTAACAAGAGCTCAGGAATGTTAATGAGCTCAGAAAGGCCCCCAGAGCAACATGCCAGTGGCTGGAGAGCAGCACACAGTTTTCTGTGCTGTTATCTTTGAACCTGTTTGTGTTTCGAGAAACTCTATACATTGTCCCAAGAATGTCTGCTGGATCTCTGAAGCAAAGCTGTATCTCCCCATTCGGTTTGGGTAGTTTCCGAACCACACGGACATGCCGGGGTTCTTTAGGTTTTTCTTTTTCTTTTCAGGATGTTCATACCTTTAACCCTTGTCCTCCCAGGTATGTTGCTGAAGTGGGAGAGCGGGGTTCTTGTCTCCCCGAGTTGAAGAATGAATCTTGTGGACAAAGGAGAGAGGAAAGGGATAGATTTTTTATTAACCAGGGATACAGGGGGAAAAAAAAAAAGCTCTCAGGAGGGAGAGGGGCCCCAACAGGGTTGCTGCCCCTGAGGGCTTTTAGGGTAGGTCTTTTATTAAACCTAACCAGGGAACTTAAATCTTTTTAATTTCTCTACCGATAGCACCTTTGTGTAAGGACCAGTGATAACATCTTTAACAGCTTACTTTTTTTTTTTTTTTAAGGGTCTGGTTATTCTCTGTTAGATCCCAGGTGACTGTCATAAAAAAGACCCCCTCCAGGGACACCTAGGGCAAGGCAATCTGGTGTTTTCCCTTATCTCTGGTTTCCTCACACCTCCACATTTGGGGGATTGCTGTGAACCTGATCACAGAGCCCCTTCCCTATCTCTCCCTGCGAGCCCCTCCTGTCCCTTACTCAGTGCTAAGTGAATCAGCAAGCTTGGTGGGTGGGGCGATGGTTTGGCTGATACGAGTGTGGAGAACTTTAAAGTTTATGGTGATCAAGTCTTTGGGGTACCTCCCAAGCAAAGTGTATGTGGAGATCCCTAGGATCTAAGGGAGTTGCCTGCAGTGAAAGCAGTACCCACGCCCCCACTTCCATTCTGATCCTCATACCTCTGAGGCCTTTCTGTGTACGCACCCCCACTTCTCTGTGCCTGAGCAACCACTCCATGATTTTCCAGGGTAACTCTCCATGGGGGAAGAAGTGGCTTCTAGTGTATTCTCGTGGGAAGGCATGACCTGGATAGTAAGCATGGCCACGCCTCGGGCACAGACTGCTGATGTCACGTGCTGGGAACCAGATACCGAGTTTTCATGTTTTTGTTTTACTCCCTGCCCCCACAGAGATATGTGCAGTGGTCTTTACCCTTCATTATCTTTGGAGCCACCGGCCTGACTTCCGGCCTCCTGAGTTTATTATTGCCGGAAACCCTTAACAGCCCATTGCTAGAGACATTTTCTGACCTTCAGGTGTATTCATATCGGAGACTGGGGGAGGAAGCGTTGTCCTTACAGACCTTGGATCCCCCGCAGGTATGGTGTGGTTTTCCTAATCATTCACAAGTATCGCTTGGGAGGATGACAGTTTGGGGAGCGGGAGGAGAGAATGTCCTGGTTACGTTTAATAGAACCAAGCAAAGCTGTTGGAAAACAAAGGTGTGGGATTAATAGCAGCTGGTGTTTTAGAGAAATGAAGATGGCTGGTGAGTCATTCACTTTCGTAGAACACTTTAGGGTGAAATCTTAGGGGAGAAGATGTCATAAAGATTCATTTGTTGGTTGAGTGCTAGTTAATAATTTTCATTTTAGAAACGTCATGGTGTCATGTGACCATTCTGGATCTCCTTTCCCATTTCAGTCTGAGGACAAGGATGACACTGTAGGCAGTGAGAGTGAGGAAGAGGAAGAGTTCTTCGATGCGGACGAAGAAACCCAGATGATTAAGTGAAGTGGCCCGGGATCCTGCGTCACAAGCAGACAATCTCCTCGCCTCTGGCGAAGGCAGGCTTTCCCGGGAAGCGTCGGGAGTCGTGGAAGTACAGGCTTGCACACACACGGGAGATCCTCAGCACGGCTCGTTTTTTTCAGGCGCAAAGGAAGATGGAGAAGAGATTTCGTGAGGACATCACTGTACTGAGCGAGTAGTCGTTCATTAGTCGGCAGTTCAGGCTCATTTCTGAACCATGACTTCTGGCCAGAGAGCTCCAATCCACATGCCAAAGTGGAAAGCTAATTTGTTTCTGGAAGTCTGATCGTGTTGCTTATCCTTGATCATGCCTAAAGGCAGACATATAAAATTCCTTCTGCCCTCTTAGTGGGATAAGATAAACCATCCTTAAGATTTCATCCTAATACCATATTTGACATCTGCCCCTTATCATTTGTGCCTCACCAGGAATCTCTCCAGGCCGACTGGTGTTCGCATTCCAGTTTCATGCCAGAGGAAAAGCACTGAGAGGACATTGTGTGTGGCCCAAGGCCTCCAGCTTTCCCCTAACTGATGAGAGGTGGGTCCACCCCGCTCGCTTCCCAGGCTCAGGATTGGCTTGAGTACCCTGTGTCTTGAGCCCCACAGACGATCCAACTGTACCGAAGCGATTTTTCTCAGAGCCAGAGGTGTGGCTGCAGCTCCCGCTCACTCCCTTTGACAGGCAGCTTGTGTCACTTCCTCCGTTCTGACTTGGGCACATCTCCAGAAACTGGTCCATCTCAGATTCCAGTACCAGCAATCACTTCAGAACTGGGCTCACTAAGGGATGAAGCTTCGTGAAGGTAGAGGGCAGCCGCAGAGTGACAGACATGTCAAGCATTTGAAAAGGGGCAGCTTTTATAAGGAAGAAAAGAAAATGATCTGTCGCGGGTTTTCGTTCTGTTTTCCGCGTTGTACAATGAGGCACTTGGGCAACCGCTAAGAACTTGAACACTTCTAATTCCAGGTCAGTCCCTACCTCTGTGTCAGAGTGGAAAGCAAGTAATTTCATAGGAAGTGTGATTTTTTTCATGAAGTACTGCCAACTTTCAAATAAGTCTGTCACACATGGTTTTCTAAAATCATATGCTGAAAGGACCTGTTTCCCTCAAAACTTGAATGCTATCTCAAGTAGGAGTGTTACCTGGAGTCAACAGGTTTGTGCAATATGGCTTTAGGCCACTTTCCCAACCAGGAACTTTACTGTGTCTTCAGAATTTCCCATTTTATTAACTCGGAGAAAGAAGTTGCACTGAAGTTAAAGAGAAGACGTCATGGGGCCTGCTTCTGGAAATCTCGGAGACATCACCCCCAGCTGGCTCTGACACTTCCCCAACTGCTTCCACATTAACCTCTTGGTTTACACTCTATCAGTCTGTACCTTTGTATTGGTTAAAGTATTTTTATGTCCTTTATGCCTTTGATGATATTTTGAGCTCTTCATACATAGGGGCCATCTCTTCTGCTGTTTGTTTCTCTCTGATGTGTCCAGAAGAATATGGGCCTAGACACAGTAAGGACCTAATAAATATTGCTGTTTCTAACCAAGAAAACTGTGGATGTGAATGATGCTTGCAATATCATTTTTATAAATCCCAGGCAAATATGACCCCCACCCCCAAACTGTGGAATCCTGCTTGTCTATCTCTGGCAGATGGAGACCCTGCCCACCATCAGGAGAAAAAGAGAGGAGGAACTTACAAGGACACTTAGAAGATCTTCTTAGTGGCTGGGCATTAAAAATAAAACAATGAACTGACATATGTGTGCTCTTTGGTCAGTTAGAGCGTTCTTTGCCTTATGAGGATAACATGTCCCATTAGAGAAAATTTGGAAACTGGAAGTTAAAAAAAAAAAAAAAAAACACCATAGGCCCAACACCCAGAGGCAACCAGTGTTATGGCTTTGTTCTAACTGAAGACCAGTTGGGAAACCATCTCTCTGCTGGCACCGGGATTCCCTCTGCTTCCGGCTAAATAAGCGAGGATTCCATTAGTTCTATCCCTGGGTCTCCTGCTTTCCCAGCGGTGGGCTGGAAAAAGGGAGGGGGGATACACATGTCACTTAAAAAGACCAGGCAGGCTATCAGCTGCTTGAGTCAGTTGTCACTAGTAAGGTCCATGGTTCTTTCTAGATGGTCTTTTAGTGAAGTTTAATAATCATAATTATTAAACTTTTCATTCTACCACCTTTTATAAAAAGATTTTTTTTTTCCTTTTGATATTAACTGTTGAAGAACAGTGATTGTAGAGAATGTGTACCTGTGTATATTTGCCCTGGTTAAATGATTGGAAAGCTTTTAATTTACAGGGAACATGATTTGTGCAGATGATTTGTAAAAAAGAATCTTTTAAAATTTTTCTTATTGTATTCCAAATTAAATTTCTTTTCTTCTCAAAAGCAGCAAGAAGAATGTAAACGCATAGGAAACCCCCAGTTTCTAGGGTCAAAAGTCTTAGAACAACTTATTCAGAATCTTGGTACTGATATGTTAAAAGAAACAGCATTGTAGTTTCTTGATCTGGGGAGTTAAAATCAGTGCCCATTGAAAATACAGTATTTGTCATTTGGCTGCTTTCAAGCAGTATAGACATTCTTTAGTATTTAAAAATGAACAAGTAAAATACAACAAATAAGCAAATGAAAGTTTCTGAGGCACTGTTTAAGAGAATATAATCTGGGCAGGTATTTTTGTGGAGGTCAAATTGATGAAGAAACCATTAGTATCTTTAATATCTAATATCTAGATTTATATTTTTAACAAAAACATTGAAATAATTGTCACTAACATACCAGAATTATTTTTTTAAAAAGATTTTATGTATTTACTTGAGAGAGAGCGCACACACGAGTTGGGGGGTGGGGGCAAGGGAGAAGGAGGGACAGAGGGAGAAGGAGATGCAGACTCCCATGCTGAGCGTGGACTCCACCTTGGGGCTCAATCCCCTGAGATCATGACCTCAGCCAAAGGCAGATGCTTAACCAACTGAGCCACCAGGTGCCTGCATACCAGAATTAAAATACAGTTTTCCAAAAGACTTATTCTTCCATTACAAATTCTTACTAGATCATCGGTTCTAAAACTAGAAAAGTATCTATAAAAGTCTCTTGCAAAGGCTTCTAGGTGTTATTTAGTGTCCATCAGTCCGGTACAGCTGGAATTTGAAAGGTGGGAGTGACATGGAGGTCATGCTTGTGATGTGTCGGTTTTTCCAGCTGGAGTCCAAGGTCATAGAGGCATTCGGTTTTGCTGAGGCCGTTTTAGCAGCAACATTGACAGGGGCAGCATCGATTAAAATCTTAACAAGATTTTAGGTAGAACATAGATTGAACAATATAGAATCTAGATAGAGCAAGATGTTAACATAGAACCTGGCAAAATAATTCTAGTATTCATATGGAAAAGTAAAGATCCAAATCAAGACAATCCTGGAAATTAAGAGCAAGCAGAGGGACTTGACTTTCCAGATATCAAAACTTGTAAAGAATCTATAGTACTGGTGTGGCAGTAGACAAGTACAACAAATTGAACATAATAGAGATCTCAGAACAAGACCAAGCATGTAAAAGATTTGGCATTTTTCAAAGATGGCATCACAAATCAGTGGGAAAAGGATGAACTATTTCAAATGTTGTTGTGAGAACTACTGGGTTTCCATATCAAAGAAAATAAAATTAGGTCCTTTCTTTTCACCATAAAAAAATAAATTCCAAGTGAATTAAAGATCTAAATAGAAAAAAGCAAAATTTTAAAACAATTAGAAAGTGATATAGGAAAGGGGTGCCTGGGTGGCTCAGTCAGTTGGGCATCCAACTCTTGGTTTCAGCTGGAGTTTTGATCTCCAGGTCCGGGAATCGAACCCCATGTTGGGCCCTGCGCTCAACATGGAGTCTGCTTGAGATTCTTGCCTCCTCCTCTTCCCTCCTCCTCTGCTCCCCTCCCCACTCACAGGTACACATGCACACACTCTCTCTCTCTCTAAAAGAAATAAATAAAAATCTTTTAAAAAAGGAAGTGATATAGAAGAATGTTCTTATGACTGACTTTGTGGGATAGATGAATTTCTTAGACAAAAAGTGATAATCATAAATCATTTTAAAAAACTGACATGTTTGATTATATCTAAATTTTGAAGTTCCTTCTGTATGACTAAACATACCACAAAGTTTGAAGAAAAACAGTAAGTTAGGAAAAAATATTTGCAACTTCTGTAAGAGATAAGGATTAATATTCAGAATATATCAAGAGTAAGTGCAGGGACGCCTGGGTGGCTCAGTTGGTTAAGCAGCTGCCTTCGGCTCAGGTCATGATCCCAGCGTCCTGGGATCGAGTCCCACATCGGGCTCCTTGCTCGTCAGGGAACCTGCTTCTCCCTCTGCCTCTGCCTGCCATTCTGTCTGCCTGTGCTCGCTCTCTCCCTCTCTCTCTCTGACAAATAAATAAATAAAATCTTTAAAAAAAAAAAAAAAAAGAGTAAGTGCAGTAAATTACCAACATCAAGAATAAAAGCATAGGGCGCCTGGGTGGCTCAGTCATTAAAGCCTTTGGCTCAGGTCATGGTCCCAGGGTCCTGGGATCGGGTCTCACATCAGGTTCCATGTTTGTCAGGGAGCCTGCTTCTCCCTCTCCCACTCCCCCTGCTTGTTTTCCCTCTCTCGCTGTCTCTCTGTCAAATAAATAAAATCTTAAAATAAATAAATAAATAAAAGTGTAGACATCACTAAGATCCTATAGGTGATAAAACTTTATTGTGAATGACTTTATTTCAGTAAATCTTATAACTTAGGTGAAATGGAGAAATATTTTGAAAGACAAACTATGAAGCTCACCCAAGGAGAAATATGTAATCTGAAGAGCCTTTATCTTTGAAAGAAATTGACACCATAGTTACAAACCTTTTCACAGAGAAAGCTCCAAGCCCAGGTGGCTTTACTTGTGAATTCCAGCAAGTATTCAAGGGAGTAATATTATCAATTCTACACAGTGTTTCAGAAAACAGAGGAGAGGGAACATCTCCCACCTCATAGATCTAAAAAATTTACAAAAACACTACTACAACTAAAAAGTTGTACAAGGTGGGTGTCTGGGTGGCTCAGTTGGTTAAGTGTTTGACTCCTGATTTTGGCTCAGGTTGTGATCTCAGGGCTGTGAGATTGAGCCCCATGTCTGGCTCTGCACTTAGGAGGGAGTCTACTGAAAATTCTCTCCCTCTCTCTCTCCCTCTGCCCCTCCTCCCTCCCACTGCCTCACTCTGTCTCTCTAAAATAAATAAATCTTTAAAAAAAGTTCTATGGGTGTAGAGAGTTTAGCAAGGTTGACAGGATGTAGTCCATATATAAAAATTAAAAATCAATTGTATTTCTATGGCCTGGCAACAAATAATTGGAAATTAAGATGAAATTTTGAAATTAAAATGAAAATGTACCTCATTTCAGTGGATTACAAGCAAAACAGTTTTATAATTAGATTGCCTGGGTGTAAATTAGAACCCTGTCATTTATTAGATGTTTGATCTTCAATAACATTTAAGATTTTTCTTAAAAAATACAAATCAGAAAGAAAAGTAATAGGAAGTTCACAAAAATATTGTTAGGCAATTCACAGATGAAAAGATGCTCCACTTCATCAGCAGGTCAGAGAAATGTAAATTGAAACAACATTAAGATATTTAAAATCCATTAGATTGAGGGGGAAGTTATAAAATTGAATTTTAAAGATACGAAGAAAAAGGAATTTGCTTACATCCTCATAGAAGCTAAATTTATTCAACTGGATGTTAATAGTGAGGTTGAAAATGTGCATATTCTATGATACAGAAACTGTGCTACTGGGTATTTATCACAGAATAGTTTTTAGATATTTTGTCTCTAACCCATTATAAGGAAAATGTTTTACACTATGACACACATAGTACCCACATCTGCATACATATCCATATATATATAAACAAAGTTTCGCCAGATAATCCTTACCCTTTGTACATACATTGCTTTGTATTTTCTATCTTATTTTACTTTAAAATGAAAAGAATACTGATAAAGACCCAGAAAAGTGATTTCACAATTCATAGGCAGGTCAAAATGTGGAGCTGGTAAAAGTGAAACTTGATAAGCTTAATATTGGCCTTAATACTTGTCTAGGGCATGTGTGCAAGAAGATGTGTATAAAAATGTCCATTGTAGTAGTAGTAAAACAATGAAATTAAATACCTTAGTAGGGAAATGCATAGTACAATTTTATACTGAGAGAACATAATGAAACAGGAGTTTTATGTATTGAGGTGGGCAGATCTCCACTTTCTTGAACAAAATAGTGTGGGCAGGTTTTTGCTAGATCAGAGTCATTTCGTCGTTAAGTTCTTTAGTGAGCGACTGGAGGACTTGCTAATTATGAAGATTTGAGTGTATTTTATGCCATATTTACAGTCAAGACTATTGATACTCTGTGGCAAAAAGAAAATAAAGAAATTTCATTGTTACTCTCATTTATCCCTCCTCTCTATAGGGTGAAATTTCTTTTGAAAAAGAGCTTTGCTTCTGTGGAAACATTTAA